TTTTCTATAGCCAATGTATTTTGATCAGTGTTTGCTGTGGCCGGATTCTTACTATGATGGTGATAATTAGAGGATTCCTTAGGTTTGTATTGTAATAATTGAGTATTTAAGAACTTACCTGTATTAGCATTAAAGAGATTTATAGAGATACTCGGGCTTTTGGAATAGTTGGTTGGATTTGTGAGAATTGGACGAGGATTTCTTGGACCTTGTTTTCTTCCTTTGCTAAATGATATTGTTTTCCATCCTTCCTCTGAGTTTTCTTTTGCTTGAATGACTTGATCTTTGGATGAAATTGTATTTTCTGTGGATTTTAGGGCGTAGCTATAATTTTTCATCGTGTGACTAAATCTTCTACATTTTTGCATAAAATTTTCTTCTTCATAGTAAATGTATTGTTTATAAAGGCCAATATAGAGAAAAGGTTGGCCTGGAATTTCTAATGGAATTTCCACACAAATTCTTGTATAACGTCCCCTTAGAGTGGTTGATGTATAACATCAATTTTAGTAATCGTCCAATTGCATTTCCAATTTTTTCTAGAATTTGTGAATCGTAAAATTCTGTTGGTAGATGGGGCAGCCTAATCCATACTGCTGAGGTGGTTAGTTTCTTTTTTATAGCCACAAAATTAGGCTTCCATTTAGAAATCGATAGGAAATGGCCATTGATGAACCATGGACCTTGGTTGATAGCTTTCTCCATATTTTCCTTTTTTTAAATTTGATAATGTAGTAGTCTTCTACAAGATCTATTATCCTCTGTTGGATGCCAAAGCTCCTAAATCTTCTTTTTTAAATATTGGTGTAACATGCGTTTTCCTACCAATTTAACAATAATTGAGCATTTCCATGGCTCATAAATACGCTGCCTGTCTTCTTCCGTTAAAGGAATCTGCTTGATGCCTCATGCAATAGAGTTTGATGAGTGCATGGACGTTTTCTCTTCTGTAGAGATCTTTGTTGGGTCCATGTCAGTATGTCCTAGGTTTGGGGCGAAGCTCATTGGGTCAGAAACAATTAGCATATCCTTAAAGGAAAATTTGGCCATTAATTCGTTTGGAATATTTTTATAATGTTCAATGTCTGGGGGTTTTGGTGGTATTGAGGATTGAGATTCATAGGGTTGTGGATCCATGATAGTGGAGAGGAGAATCTTCATAGGGTTTTAAACTTAATTCTGCCCATATGATTATTTTGTTAATTAGTGAATCATTCTTATGGAAATGAGCCCATTATTCACTTATCTAAAGCAGGAAGACCGAAAGCGTTAAAGTTTTAATCCATTGCTTAACCTAGAATTAGAGCCGTCAAATTGGGCTTAGCCCGTGAGGCCAGCCCAACTCAGTCTGCTACTTGCGTAGGGTTAGGCTAGGATTTTTTGAGCCCATTTAAAATAGAGGCAAATAAGCCCGGCTCAAGTCAGCCCGATGACCCTTGAAGCTTGACCGAGGCTGGGTCTGGGCCGGCCCGTGGGCTAAAAATTAAAAAATTAATTAACTATTAAATATTTAATATTATAAAAAGTAAAAACTAAAAAAAACTATTAACTATAATCCTCATACCCTAACCCCAGATTGCTCATTTACCCTTTCATATCAACTAGAATTTACATTTTTGACATGCATGTAATATGACAAAATTAGTTTTTCTTTTGCTTAACTAAAACGAACTCGAAAAGTTTTAGTTGGATAATAATAATTAATTTTCAAAAGAAAATATTACTTTAAGTGGCCAGTGATCAGTTTGAATTACTTTAATATACTAGTAATATTTAAACTGCTCTTTAGTATAGAAAAAGATCATTTTTGAATACACAAAAAAAAAACAATTGACCACTAGCAAATTTCAAGAGTTTTAAAAATTTTATGGTCTATAATGATGAGATCGGCAAATGATATTAATCCTAAATTAAAAAACCTCAGCATTTAAACTTATTGAAGCAATCTCTGAATCCTAGGAAAATGAAAGAAAAGTATTAAGAAAATATTCATGTAACTTTTAAAAAAAAGAGTTAAAGATATAGAGAATTTGCATTTCAATTACGAAATTCCTCCTCAAATATCAACTTTTTTACGCTCTAAGCAAACAAAAGTTATTTACATAATTAATAGACAATGTCACAAAAAAATATTTAAGCATTTAAAGAAATTCTTTTTTCTAAAAAAAAATTGAAGGACCGGCCCGCCCTAGCCTTCGGCCCTCTTAGAGATGGGTTGGGCTGGCCATTTTAAGGCCAGTTCATGTGACGGGCCGGCCCGTCCTAACCCACCAAATTTAAAAGCCCGCAAGGCTTGGGCTGGGCTGGGGTGACCCGTTTTATCAGCTCTACCTGGAATGAAACCTTTCAAACGAAGAAAAGATTGACCATCGGGTTCATTTATGAGTTAGGACAGAAAGCATGCTAAGATTGACTACTCGATAGAAAAGAGGCTGCACTATCAATAAGGGAAGCGACTAGCCTTCTTTTAGGCCAAGGAAGGAAAGCACAATAGAAGTAGAACTAGCGTAGCGGGACATGGCATTAGTTAGGGAGAAGGAAAAGCTACCAAACATCAATTTAATAAACAGACAAGGCTGCTTGACCTTAACAAACAAAACCTGAACTCCAGTGTAACTTTTATCTCTAATCGGTGTCTTTTTCAAGACCCGCGGACGGGGCCCTTTTCTCAAAAAAAAAAAATAATTTTGATTTTCATAAATTTCACATAAGATAAAAGCTCTTTTCATCGACAGAAAGAATCTAATTTCCGACCTCTTGTATTGCATTACCATGAAAACAAAAAGAACAAAAAAAAATCTTGAGAAATTCCAACAAAGAGAGCTTTTAGAAACTTGATAGGAAAGATATATATTATGAGAAAACTACATTCGATCCTTTAATGATTTAACAATCTTGTGATATGATCATTGGCATTGAGTCCTTCGTAATAAAAGGGGTAAACCTTATGAATTTTCCATTTTTAATATTTTTAGTAATAATTAAAGAATATGCGAAAACTATGCATTATGAACTGGAGAAAATCGATAATTCTTAAGTTCAATAGAAAAAAATTAATTCTTTGCGTATATATTTTTTCTCCATTCGATCAACATCCAATATTTGTATTTGGACTCGATTAATTTTAAAGGATTTTTACCTATCTATACCATATATCAAATCTTATTACCAAAAATGTTCATAATTTGTTATTTACCCATGTAATCCATACTTTTACTACAAATTATATACCAATTCAAAAATAGGTAGATTTTGCCATTAAAAAAGCCCTAAAATGAAGGCACCAGATCTGATGTGATTCTGTCAACGATTTTATTCGAATTTTGAAACTGAAGGAGATCTCTCTTCCTGATGAAGGCACCAGATCTGATGAAGGCACCAGTTGCGTAATTCTCTCCTTCCTCAACAGAAAGAGATCTCTGTTGATATCAGCTACAACAAAAATCGCAATCAAATTGTACAATTACTGAAGAGAGACTATATTTGTTCTTCGTCTCAAATTGTACAAAATTGCTCTTCGTCGATATCAGTACTCAAATTGTAGAAACTATATCTGTTCTTCGTCTTTTTTCCTATCAGCTACACGAAATCATGTCAAAAATCCCAATAATGCTGAAATCAAATGGTAATTGGGATAACTATGGCAGATTTAGAGATTTTGAAGTTGATGACATTGTGGTAGATGATAATGCAAGCTACGGAATTCTCAGTTCTACAATTGCAGAACAATTATCGATTGATACATCGGATAAAATTATAGAAATCAAATACATTGTGAACGAGAATTGTCCTCCAATGGAGATTAGGAATGATATGGGGGTTCGTGCTTACATGGAAACCAAAAAGGAGAATAAAAACTTAGGTTCGTATCCTTTATGTATAAGCGTAAGAGATTTCAATATGGAATTGGCAATCAACAATGAAAGCACCAGTGCAGGTATGTTTGATTCGACATTGCAGAGAGTTATGGTGTTACTATGTTATCTACAATATTACTACAATTACCTACAATTAAACTACAAAACTCACATAGTACTGAAAAGGATAAAGCAATGTTGCTTTCAAAATTATCTACATAGAAACTACATTTATGAATTTATTGTTTGCAGGTTCGTCTGGATCCCTAAACTTACTTGAATTTCCATCCTCACCAGCTATAGAGGAATATCAAAGTGAAATAATAACTGAATCTACGCAAACATATATTGAAGAAGGACAAGTTTATCAGGACAAGCAAACAGTAGCTGCTGCAATGAAGAATTATTCAGTGATGCACAAGTTCCAGTTCAGAGTAAAAAGATCTAGTCATAGAAGGTATGTAGTTATTTGTGGATAATATATCAGCAAAATCAGTGTATGATTGAAGATAGGTGGGTTTTATAAATTGTAGTTAAATTGTAGTCAGTTTGTAGTTAATTGTAGTTTTTTCATAAATTTGTGTAAATATTGTATTTCTTTTGTAGCTACTAGCTTATATGTGTTGCTGAAAGCTGTAAATGGCATTTCAAGGCAACGTCAATTAATGATTCGGCAATGTTCAAGATAAGAAGTTTCAGCCGTCAACACACATGCTGCCTAATGGACGAAACATTCATACAGCGCAAACGTACTGCAGCAGTACTTGGTAGCATGGTCGTTCCAAAGTATTGTGATCCTAAGACTGTTTACACACCAAAGGACATACAAACTGACATGTTATCCGAACATGGACTGAACCTAAGCTACATGCAAGCATGGAGAGCAAAGGAAAAAGCTTTACAGTTTTTGAGAGGGAATCCGTGTGACTCCTACAACAAATTACCCAAATATTTTTATATTCTTGAGAAGAATTATCCATGTTCTGTCGTTAATTGAAGAAGGCAACAGATGATTGCTTCTTATACGCATTTGTTGCTCTTTGTACATCAATAAATGGTTGGCAACATTGTAGGCCGGTAGTAGTGGTTGATGGGACATTCTTAAAGTCAGCCTACAGGGGGATTATGCTGACAATAAGCACCATGGATGCAACAGGTAAATAATGGAATAATTTTGTACTTATTTTGTAGACAGTCTTTAAAATGCAGTTAAATTGTAGTTATGTTGTAGTTATTTTGTAGTTATATAAAAGAATGTAGTTAACATGTCTATATTTCTCAATATATATTGTAGTTGTTATTTAATCATATTTTATGTCTTAAAAATGTAGGTACTATTTTTCCCTTGGCATATGCTGTGGTTGATTCTGAAAACGACGCGTCTTGGAAGTGGTTCTTTGAGCAATTCAAGGAGGCATATGGTGAAAGACCTTCAATGTGTGTTGTTTCAGATAGGCATGAGAGTATACTGAAGGCAACATCAGTTGTCTATCCGGGATTGGCACACTACTCTTGCATGTGGCATATATGGACAAATATAAGGTCAAAATTCAAGAAGGGACATCTACAATTACATGAATTGTACTTTGCTACAGCACGGTCATACACTATGGATGAATTTAATGAAAGGATGTTGAAGATTGAAGAGGTAGACCTGCGTGTAAAGTCTTACCTATATGATATTGGCTATCATAGATGGTCAAGAGTACATGCAACGGTGAATAGAACTTTTACTATGACGTCAAACATTGCCGAGTCGTTGAATGCTGTAACAAAAGATGCAAGAGAGCTTCCAATATTTGATCTATTTGAGTATATGAGGACTCTTCTTGAACGTTGGACAAATGAAAAGTTATCGAAGTCAAAGGGTACTTTCACATACCTTGGTCACAAATACAACAAAGAATTGGAAGACAATAGTACATTATCTCAGAAACTAAGGGTAAGATATTTTTTTTGGTGCAGTAGAATCAAAAAAGTACTAGCTGCAGTGTTTCCAAATTGTAGTTAAACTGTAGTCAAATTGTCGGTAATAATAGTTTGTAGATGAGCTGTAATATATT